TTTGCCACTAGTTTAGAAAAGTGTACAGATTTCAGTTTAAAAAGAGACAGCTAAGCTAAAAGAACCAGTACAGGATCTGGGAGCTACGCCGTAGGCAATTAGAACAAAACATAGGCAAAAAACCCTGAAAATAATTTGAAATGAAAAATTGTTAATATTTCCTTGACTCCTGATGAGAGGATAGCTCAACAAGATTTGGAGACTCACGAGTTGTCCAATCCTGCTATAAAAGGATATTGACTTTTCTAATTTGAGAATGTTGAAGAGTTTGTCCCCATCAATACCTGCAGTTACGTCTATAGCTACATTTCATCAATGTGCATCTGAAATGTACAGTGGTGCCTCGCTTAACGACAACAATCCATTCCAGGAAAATCGTCGTTAAGTGAAAACATTGTAAAACGAAATTAAAAACCCCACTGAAACGCAATGAAACCCGTTCAATGCGTTCCAATGGGGTAAAAACTCACTGTCCAGTGAAGATCCTCCATACGGCAGCCATTTTCACTGCCTGTATAGCGAGGAATCCATCCCTAAGCACAGCGGGGAGCCATTTTCAGCACCTGGTGGCCATTCTGAAACAACCAATCAGCTGTTAAAAAACACATCGTTTCAAGAATCAGCTCCCGGAGCAGGGAACCAATCATCGCAAAGCAAAAAACCCCTATTTAGACATTGTTTTGTGATCGCAATTGCGACTGCAAAAAGATTGTCATACAGTGATTTTGTCATAATGTGGGACAATCGTTAAGCGAGGCACCACTGTACAGCTAAGCAATATTGGCCAGCATCTTATTGGTGCCCCACCTCATTTGCTCACTCTATCTTGAAACAGCCCATTCCAGCCAGTCTCATTGTCAGAGATGGAGTGTTAGAGCCCCATCTGTTCTGCTATAAGAATACTTGCTTATCTGTTTCTGTGTGCAAATTAATAGTTTTCCCCCTAGCACCCTATTTTGACCACATATGGCCACTCCCAAAGGACTACCTAGTCTAATGCTCTGTTTCCTAACAGTTGGGAAGCCTACCTGCCCAGCATACGCACAATAACATGTGGCCTTTCATTAAAAATCTGATTTCTTTTCTAGTGCCCACCATCCAGTGTAACTCTGTTTATCTCTGGGATTCCTGGCGGGCAGAAAGGTGGTGAAAAAATGCTTCCAATAAATACACATCTTTATTTCTCTCTCTTCTTTGCCTCTCCCTGCCATTTAAACAGTTCTGTTTTCAGGCTGGAAGCAACCATAACTCATGGCTGACCAGGAACAACACTTTCTTAACTGCTGCACCCAAAAACCACTCCTCTGTTTGAGGTACATTGATGACATTTTTCTGATCTGGACCCATGGAAAGGAATCCCTAGAAAAATTCCACCAAGAGTTCATAATTCCTTGTTGTTGCTCTTAGTTTATGCCATACAGTTTTCATACACTATTTACTTTATGCCACAACTTTTTCTGAAGTTTTTTCACCACTTTCTTGTTTGATTTGACATACCCAGCTTTCATCATGATTTCTCTTTGTAATTTTGTCCCTTTTTTCCATTTGAATTTCTCTTCTTTCCTACGCACAGTTGGCTTTATTATTATATCATAAGTTCCATTGATTCAATGGGCCTATTTTAGTTGGGACTTGCTATACTAAAGTAAGTCACAACTAGAGTAGGACCATTTTTGGAATTAATGAAACTTATGGAGGAACTGATTCCCTAAATCCCCACTGATTCAGTGGAGCTACTAAGGTGTTGTTGACGAACCTTAGTAACAGGATTTCACCCACTATCTTCACTTGGTTTTTGCTTGTGATATGCTATCAAGGTACTACTGACTTACAGAGACCCTAATAGGGCTTTCAAAGTAAGTGAGATATTTAATTAGTGTTTTTTACTAGTTCCAACGGGATTCAAACCCAGGCCTCCTGAGTCCTAGTACATCACTCTATATATGAAACTTTAATTTAAGGACATTCTGGACATTGCATACAGTCCTCAGGGCCTTTTCCTTCTATAAGCATCACTAAAAGAAACAGATAACTATTTATTTCAACATAACCAAACAAATTTCTCACTGCATTATATATACAACCAATTTTTTTTATAGCTGGACAACTCAGCCAGAGGTTGGGTGTTTGATTCCCCACTATGCCTCCCAGGAGAAGAGCCAGCCTGTGTTGCCTTGAGCTTGGTGCAGTTAGAAGAAGGGAACAGCGCTGTCCCTTTCTTTGGGTAAGGGTAAGAAATGTGCAGCTTTCCAGATGTTTTTTTGACTGGAACTTCCATTAGCCATAGCAGCACAGGCAGTGGCGAGGGATGGTGGATTTGCAGTGTAGCAGCATCTGGGGGGTGCACGTTGTCTACCCTTGCTTTCAGCTAAATCCAGATGTCAGTCTCAACTACAGTAAATATACAGAAGCCCTACTCATTCAGTGGATCTACCCTAGTCTCTGGACTATCTCTTGGATTTAGTTCTTTTTCATAGCTCATGGCTCATCTTAATATCTCAACCAAAAACATAGTTACAATGTTAAGGAATGGGTCAGAAAATGGGTGTTCAGAGGGGACATGTCACCCAGCAACATGACAGCTATAACTCTGTTTCCCATTATTAGCCTCTGAGGACATTCACCACC